TTAGAGACAGACAACCAAGCACACTCACATTCACACCTACAGACAATTTAGAATCACCAATTAACCTCAACACTGTGGACTATGTAAAGAAGCCAGGGAACCTGGAGAAAACCCACACTCCACGGGGAAAACACACAAACCGGTGACCTTCTTGCTGCGAGGCATCGGTGCTAACCACTGCTCCACCTTGCAGCCTGTTTTAAAGGTTCATTCCACCCAAAATACCACTTATCATTTCAGAGTATCTTTAACCCAAAATCCTGTCTAACAAATAAACATTGTTTTTAAAGGTTTATTCCACCCAAATAATATTTTTCACCAAACAGGTTAAAGGTTTGTATGACCCAAATAGTACTTTCAAAAAATGGGTTATGGTTTTAAAGGTTTGTTCTTCCCAAATAATACTTTTTTAATAAACAAACCATGGTTTTAAAGGTTAATTCCACTCAAAACTATACATAGTTCTTTTTCTCCCAGTGTGTGTGGACTAGAAAAGCTAGTTCCCCTTTGAAGTAAACTAGTGGTTGCTGTGTCATCTGGCCTAATAAATAAATAAATAAATAAGAAAGAAAAATAAGGGTCCTAGAAGTGAGGTCCTGTAACTGCAGCCTCCTCTCTTTTCCTTTTCCTTTACATAGATTAAAAACCTTCCCATCTTAAATGAATGCAGAAACATGTGCATACACATTTCTCCCAGAATGAAGTGTTTAATGGAGGAGCCCTTCTTCATGTGTCCCCCCAGTGTTCAGTTGTCATCTCCGCCCGTGGTTAAAGGGCTGACACACTTTAAAGCAGGACTCAGGGCTGCAGGCGGATATCTTGCTGCGGTTCGGGGCTGTGTGAGGAGTTAACCGTGACATAGGGATGGTGTGATGCTCAATTAGCCAGTGTGTGACCTGGAAGTGTGCGTGCCGAAGCGGGCGGTGCCGTGTTTCTACATCCGGAGTGCTCGGACCTTTCACGAGCAGCGAAGGCAGACGAAGAATGGAGAGAGAGCCGCTAACCAGACTGTTAGCGTGAAACATCAGTAACAACAAGCGGCACAGAAAAGAGGGGGGAAAAAACTCACACTGAGCCCCGGGAGACCGTTTAAACCTGCCGCGAACAGCACACAGCCCGCGTCCCGACCGTGTGGACCCGCTGCCGCCGAGGTGAGCCTGTTGTGTTTGTTTGCGGTGAGCTAACGTTTGGTGGTAGGCTTTTGGTTGTTAGCTAATATTTTCATTGCTAACGGGGCTAATTTCCTTGTTGCGCTCGGTCCAGCTGTCACCTAGCCGTCAGGAGGTGTTAGCTAAGGCGTTAACACCAAGCAAAGCTTCATTTTTATGTCTTTAAACAACCCAATATTACCGTTTGCAAGATAATTTCTGCGTCGCGGGTTTTCCCCCCTGAATATATTTTAAACCAGAGCAGCCACTGTGGCTAAGTAATGTTTTGCTAACGTTAGCTTTGTGACTGGTTAGTCAGGTTTGATGTTGGCAGGCTGGTAATTTTAACTTAAGCTAGTGGTTTGTTCGGTTGCTGATCGATGGGACCATCACTGATGTTCGGCTGCCATAGCTGGCTTTGTCCGAGAAACGTTGGTGCACAGCTGCCAACTCGCTTCCTTGTTTTGATTCCACCGGAGGCCTGCTTACAGAGGATCGATCATCTTTATATTAGCCTCAGCTGCTTCTACCCAATACTTCCTTAGATGTGAAAAATAAAGCCAAACAAAACACAGTTTTGTCACTGCAAGATCAGGGCTGCAAAGGCAGGATTGCACTGTGTATAAAATGTGCACATTCAACCAAGGCCCCCCTCTCAGCCTGGCCAGAGTTGTAATGAAGCATTTATGGTGTAAGTTCGGTTTTTGCCAAATGTTGAACATAAATGTGAAGTTAAATCATCCCTCGCGATGTAGCTGCAATGAAGATCCTCCATGCTTGTGGTCAAACTGGCATAGATATGGATGTTGCGTCTCAGCTGCACAGATGGTTTACTACAGAATCAATACAGCATGGCCCATGATCAATTACTCTCCAGCCAGCAAAATAATTAGTTACCACATTTTCCACGAAATAACCCAGTGGCATGTTTTAAGAGAGCAGTTCTGAAGTTTGCATTTTAGTACAATATGTTACTTGGTAATACACAGATTATTGTTTGACATCCAAAGTGGAGTAAAAGCTGGTGTGGAATAGTTGCATTGATCTCACTGTTAACAGGCATCAATTTGCAATAATCCACATCTAAGCAAACTGTTGGATAAATGCATTTGTACATTTTTAATAACTGCAGATTTTAAAGGAATTATTTACTTGAAAAAACATTGGTTTGTTTCCATAAGGTTTAAGGTAATCGATGATATGTTTGTGTGCATAGTGCAATATATGTGATGGTTTTAGCTCAATGTTTCAGGCCTGAATGAATTTGGAAAAGGATATAATTGGTAAACATTTGACACATTGCGATTTGATTTGCAACATCATTTTTTAAAAGTCAGGCTTCAGTTTAGTATGTACATAGATTTAAAACGCGATTAAGCGTTGCAACTTGAGATACCACAAAGACACGCACAGGAAGACGACACAAGTGTCTAAAAACCGTTGACACAACAGTTGAAACCCTGTATCAGATACAGTGCATAACTTGTATCCTAAATTTCTGTCTTTGCAATATATTTGTTTATTTATTTCAAATTTCCAATTGAAACACATCTATTGTTCGGCCTTAATGTGGGTGCACACAAAGTCCTGGCTTGCACGTGCTGTTTTATATGAACTGATGGCGAAGGAAGAGCTTGGATAATCTAAATTCTCACCGGTTACAGTTCATAAGAGCTGGCTTTAAGGAGGGAGGCAGCTGTTAGCTGGCACTGCCACAGTAGGAGTCTGCACTGTTGGCAGGCCCCCCTCTCAGGCTGATCTTTCCACTGAAGGTTAATCACTGCACTCAGAGCCTTTATGTTTCTGCAAAAATGAAAAGATGTCAACAGATTAGTCATTTTTAATAGATGCTAATCAGCGAGAAGCATCTCGGTTTCTCAAGATATTTTGACAGGCAAATTTGTGGACTGTAATCAACGTTTGTAGAGCCTTTAATACCTTTTCAATGGCACCTTACTGCGTTGCTGAAGGAAACACAAGAGTGAATAGTGGCAGATTTTAGAACTAGCTATTAACCAATTACATCAATGTTCATAAACTCTTGAAATATTTCGTTTTTGATTATCGGCGTCATCAAACAAACAAACCCCTGTGCCTGTGATTAGACTGCAAACAGTTTAGTGTGTATGTGTGTTTGTGTCTGTTTTGATACTCTCCACGTTTCACCAGGGTATTATGACTGGACTGTGAAAATAATGCTGTCATAATACGTTGTTTATATATTTTTTATGAAAACCAAATTCCCACTTTATCATTTCCAGACTAGAACTAGAAAATTAAATTGCTCATTTTCAGCTGAGAGTGTTGGTGATGTGACACAGAGATCAGCAGAAGTTATCACCTGCAGTCACAACAAGTCAATTTCGAGAGCGTTTTCAGTAATATGACACATTTTGTGTTCGTGCAGAATGAGCTTCATTCAGAGCTGCAAATCTGTGGGATATCCTGATGGGAGAGAGAGAGGCTGTTTCACTTGAACATAACTGATTGTTCAAAATATGCAGTCGTATTATTGCATGGTATTTGTTTATTTTTCATGCTGGGGGTTATCACTTTTATAGTGACTACCACTTATGAGGAAGAAAAATGAGCTGGAACCTAATGTACACATTGCTGTATAAAAATGTAAAATATTTCTGTGCTTCTTCCATTTAACGTTACACAGGTTCATAAATCAGTGCACAATGACGCTACTATTTCTTTAGCTTTCATACAGACCGAGCCAGAGTCAAATTAAATGTCACTATGCAAAAGAGCACTATATCAAACATCAGGCTGCACCGTCATAAATCTATATTATCATCAGACAGGCAGCCACGTTCACCACTTATCTACTCAAGTCCAGCACAAAACCAACTCAAGTATCCATTATGAAAGTCTACTGTGACATTTAAAATACAGAGTCATCGACACAGTAACAGCATCTGAACTCCAGCTCAGCGTTTCTCTATTTTTTCTCAGTTTTACACCTGGGAGTCAAGAATTGGTTCCCATTAACACTGTTTCTGGATTGTCTGCTTCCTGTAGTTCTGTAGCTCTGAAAAAGTCCATTCCTTTTGTTGCTGCCTGATTTTTTTGCAGAACACATTTTTAAGAAGCCTGCCACAACCAACACATACTTAAATATCTGTTTGCAGTACGCAACATTTTCAGCTGCTGTGAAAGAAAGAATTCTTAAACAAATCTGTGAAAAAAGAGGGGGGTCAGTAAATTAAATCTGTAATGGGATTAGAATTGATAAAATCCTTTCATGTCTATTCCTTCTGAGAAACGCAGTGACTTTAATATGGTGCCAAAAGGTGTGTATCCTTAAACATATCCTCATTTATCAGGAGACATGGCACCGCCATGGGGATCAAGGCCGGGGATTCCCCGCCTTACATCAAAACTGAAGAAGCCATTCATCAACATTGGGGAAACCATTTATATAGAACTCCACAGTAGTTTCTACTCCACAGTCTTCCACAGTCCAGTGGATTGCTCAACTTTATTCTTTTCTTTTATTGATTAAGTGCTTGGCTAAAATTAATTTACACAGACTATGTCTGCTGTATAAAAAAATGCATTTCTATGCAATTGTTCCACAGCATTTAGTTTGTAAATCCTTTCTTCATGAGGTAAACAAAGCTACGGGGAATCCTTCTAAAATAATGCAATCTACACAGTTTCAGCTAAAATTGAACATTTGCAAAGACAATAGCTATTGTGGGGCTGTTGTATATTGGATTACATATCCTTTTGCAGCTGTAGATATTGCAACAGTGAGTCCTTTATTCTAAAATGCAAGATACTAATGGGTTGGCAAAACATTCCTTTAGACTTTGTTCAATTTAGTATAAGTAAGTTAACATATTCAGTGATGACACAGAAGAAACAATACAGCAGATAAATGATACCAGGACACTTATAGCAGAATACGATGCTATATATCTTAACAGTTTCAGACGTTTTTGTAGTTTTTCTGCCTTGAATAGTGTGAATTAAGTTCATGTTCCACTTAAATGTTTCTTCTTTCTCCATGGTAATCCTCAGGTTAGGCATGTCTGAACATGTTTAAGACAGAGTGGCTGGGGTGGTGTAGTTTTGCTGGCAAAATAAATGACAAATGCATAAAACAGACAAAGACCGTACATTCTGTTTTATGTCCAAATGATAAAAACAAGTTGTCTGTATTGGATTTACAAAGTGGGTCATAATTCTCATCATGTTAGTTAATTTGTTCTAAATTAACTCCAGACTCACACTGAGAGCTCGGCTCGTGTCAGTCTTGTGTGTGTGGGATTATCATCTTTACCGAAACCCTCGTGTTTAAAAACAAAACTAAAGAAGCTTTTGATGCACAGCAAGCTTTAACAGATTGTTAGATTGTGGAAATTACGTTTTGAATTATTCGAATGATTAGCTGTCACCTCGCAGCAAAGCGTTCTGGCTTCAGACCTGCAGGTGAACTTTGTGTGTGGAGTTTGCATGTTAACCTTTTGGTCCTGCTTCCTTCCATCGTCCAACATGTGCACGGTCGGCTAATTGGTGATTCTAAATTGGCTGTAGGTGTCCCTGTGGGTGTGCATGGTTGTCTGTCTTTTTGTGTTAGTGCTGTGTTAGACTGCCAGCTTGTCAATGTCAGCTGGAAAAGACCCGAGTCCCCCCTGCAATTCTCTACAGGATAAAGCAGGTTTTGGTTAAAAAAAATGGAAGATCTAATCAGGCTTAGTTTACACAGAAATCCACTCCTCTGTCCCTCGAACACAACCCACACTCAAGTCGTTAACCTTAATGAATGTAGCTCTGAATAAACTGAAAGTTCAAAGCTGTGTTTAACTCAGATTAGATGTGATAATGTAGTTTTCTGTGATGTATGTAGAGAAGTCTGGGCTGTTAAGTGAACAGCAGTCTCAGGGATATAATTAGTGACAGTGTGAACGGGATGAACGCAGGTTGAGTGTGAGTTTGTGCGTTAAGATGGCAGCCTCCTCTTCAATCAGGAGAAACACTCAGCTGAGCTAATCTAAACACTGCTGCAGCCTGGATTAGAGTGGCCTACAAATGATTATTTGCACAATGGAAACTGTTACGGCTCACCATTGGTCTCTGCTGCAAACCTGTTTTATAGCCGTGCAGTTCTGTTCCTGGTTTTATGTAATAGCAACAGTGCTCAGTTGCCCTTGAGAGCAAACTAGCTGTCTTTGATGCTGAGATCTGTGCAGGCAATACTGAGCATGAGTCATCCAGAAGCCCACACACAAATACTTTCAGCAGCAGCCTTTCCATGCTCAGGAATTACAGCATTGTCATGAAAACAGTTGTAGCTGTGGTGTTTTTTTTTTTTGTTGTTTTTTTTTTTCTGGAAGCATAAAAAGTTGTTTTTTAATGTTGAATCGATAATGCGCCTAATTTACAGTCGCCATTTGCTTCAGGGCGATAACTTGCTGAAGATGATTAACAGAATAGAAAGTCCCCAAGAGGCCTGCAGACGATAAAACATCAAACGTAACAGTGATTGCGTAATTACACACCAAACTGCCTTTTGTATTCGCTAATCCCATAATTCAGTATTTGCACAGAAAGGGATAAGTTGAACCAAAAATGACTCTGTCGAGCACTTGACGAAATCCGACCAGTATCCATCAAGTTAAGCTGTGGTGTCCTTGCGAGCAGACGTAGCTTTATATAATTGTTTACATAATATTCTCCGCTGACATTGTCCGCCAGGCTATAGCTGTGGGTGGCGAGATGCCTTCATGATCACAAACTCTGACTTAAGGTTTGTGTTGATGCTCAAACTGGTTGCTGTGTTTTCTGTGACCACTGTGACTTGATTACTATCTGTTCAGCCCAGCAGCGCTGTTGCACGGCGCTACTTGTGTCCTTGTTTATAGCACTGTGTACTTGTAAACACAGATTTTATTTAAAGCCTGTTACTGACTCACGAGCTTTAGAAACGAGTAGAACTTGCTCTCTCATGCTGAAGTTAAATTTAGAAATATTTAATAGCAAATATTTACAATCTCATTGATAAACTGTAGTGATTGCTGACAATTAAATGTGTGGTTCTTCTTATTATTATCATTTTGGTATTAGAATCCTTTTATAAGAGTTAAGAAATTGAGCTTTTTCAGTGTACAATTTGCTGCCCAAAATTAATCTGGCTGAGATTTGCCACTGTGTCAGATTTGTCACATTATATTTAGGGGGTAGTTTCTTTGAAGTGGGGTTTTATAAGGTACTTATCCATATTCAGTGTATTACCTG